TTGTTTTGGAGAAATCCCTTTCTTCATAGATGTTTGGTTAAGCCATTCCATCTTATAATGTGTAATAAACTTAAAATAAGGTGAAACAGAGATGCATCTGGTTCAGTTTTCAAATCTGTGTTCTCTGGGACACTGGCATCACTAGATTCTACTGGTTTTGTGTAACAATGGATAGTGTCTGCTTCCTTCTTAAATACTGTAACTCTCATTAGCGTTTTCAAGGTTCTGATAACTCCTGCAGCAAAGAAAGCTCTTTAACCTTCCTTAATCCAATGTTTACCAAACTTATTTGCTAAGGGACTATTGTTTTTTTGCATCAGATCAATTAACATGATCTGGACTAGTGTTTCCTGGAGGGAAATGCTGCTAAAATACCTTAGTAATTGCTGCTAGAATGAAACCCATATCCAATTAACAAAGAGGTTTTTAGTTTTGTAAAATCACAGTGCACAGATTGATGCTGGGTGTATGATCCTGGAAGGTAATCTGAATTACTGATCTTATAGATGTTGGCAGTGAATAGTAATTGGCTACTTACAAAACAACTCACTTAGAACATCTTTGGAATTTGTCACTACTACTTTGGAGCAGGCAACTAAAATGTATATTTCATACTTTGGGTTCTATGAAAATATGCTGAATTTAAGATCAGAAATGTGTTGAGCATCATTTAATAGAATTGGCCTTAAATGTGAGAGGGCTTAGTATTTACTTGTGACACATAATTTTGGGAGAGCTCCAAGGCTCGCCCAAAACTGTCTTGTTCGTATCCTAATACTCAATAAAATTCGACCCTAGCGCTCCTCCACTGTCATTTGAATTAGGTAATCAAAACAACCATACCATTTTCTATCTCATGACTCTGCTTAGGTTTTTTTTTTCTCTTCCCCAAATGCCTTTCTCCTTTATGCCTCAATCACTACCCATCAGAATCCTCTGGCACTTTCCAATGACCCTGCCTCTAGCTAATACCTTTCCTCATTTTCTCTGTAGTGGACAGGTATTTGTCCAGGCCTCTGTGGGGTAATCCAAATAATTCCTCCTTTCTCTATATCTCAACAGGACTTTGCTTGCCTCTTTGTTATAAAACATTCTATGAAATACAACTATTGTATATAGCATAATAGTACACCAGCAGTGATGAGGTACTTTTCATAATCAAAGACTATATATCGCTTATGATAAATAATGTATTTTGAATCTTGACACTTATAAATGAATGTCATGGCAATTTCAAAATTGGTCTTTGTCATCTTTTTTTTGCACTGGGAATGCCACATGAAATCCAGATTGAAAGTCACATTCTGAATTTCTATTTATTAGTTATGTACTGAAATACACATGGGATATTTTACATGTAAACAAGAAATTTCTCTCCTTAGAACCCAGCATTTTTAATCTACTGCCTTTTATCATGTGGTTCTGGCCGGTTGAAATTTGTTTACAAAAATTTTAAAGCACTATGATGCATACAACTGCATAGTCAAATTGTGGTCTCTTAGTCCCCTCCAGATGTGGTTCTTCACCCATTTAATTTCATAGTTAGAAATCTTTCATTTCTAACTATTTACTTTTAGACAATTTCAGATTTGCAAAGAGTTTGAAAAATATTACAGAAATTCTCTTATGGTTTTCAACCTACTTCCTCAAGTGTTAATATCTTGTATAACTAGGATATAATTTTGAAAAGCAGGAAATTAACAGTCAAGCAATTCTATTAACTACTCTATAGACCTAGTCAAGTTTCTTTAGTTGTCTCACTAAGGTCCTTTTACGTCTAGGATCTAAACTTTAAATCATCTTAGTCTCCTCTAATCTGACTGTTCTTCGTCTTGTCTGTCATGACCTTGACACTTATAAAGATTGCTAGTCAATTATTTTGTAGAATGTCAGTTTTAGGTTGTCTGATGTGTACACATGATTATGTCCTTTGAGAAATATATTCATAGTTTTAGGAATATATTTGAGGAAGGTATGGGTGGCAAAAATTTATTTCTCAAAATGCTTTGTTGAATCATAGCCTAATTTACCAGGTGGTAAGAGAAGATATTTTAGAGTTTTTTAAAAAGGCAGAAAATGTCTTATATTTTTGCAGATATCCTGTCCTGTATCATTTCTTTGAAAGATTTATGAGATTGTGTTTCAAAGCTCAGCAAGTCTCTGTTGACATGAATATGCATCATAGATTTTAAAAAAATAGCTTTTTAAATATGGAAGTATTTTTGAAATCACACACATTACCTATTTTCTTTCTTAGTAATCAGTAGTAGGTAATATCAGACAACTCAAGATGCTGAAATTTAATTGTTTGAAATGATCTATTCATTGCCCTGGCTGGGAAATCTTATCCTTGATTGATACACCTCTTCAATGAATATCACAGATTACCAAATTTAGAATACGCTACTTTAAATGGAGAATGATAAAACTTCTTTTGATGTATTTACCTTCCTCTCCATTTTCTTTTTTCTTTTTTTTTGTGTGTGTATGTACATAATTTCTTTAAATTTATTGGGGGTGACAATTGTTAGTAAAGTTACATAGATTTCAGGTGTACAATTCTGTAACACATCATCTATATATCACATTGTGTGCTCACCACCCAGAGTCAGTTCTCTTTCCATCACCATATATTTGATCCCATTTACCCTCATCTAACTTCCCCCTCCCCACTTACCCTCTGGTAACCACTAAACTATTGTCTGTGTCTATGAGTTTTTGTTTCTTTATTTGTTTGTCTTGTTCGTTTGTTGCTTTCAGTTTTATTTCCAACATATGAGTGAAGCCACATGCCTCTCTACTTTTTCTGTCTGATTTATTTCAGTTAGCATAATAATCTCAAGATCGATCCATGTTGTCGCAGACATACAATAGCCAACAGATATATGAAAAAATGCTCAACTTCACTAGCTATTAGGGAAATGCAAATCAAAACCACAATGAGATATCACTCCACATCTGTTAGAATGACTATCATCAACAAGATAAATAACAAGTGTTGGAGAGGCTTTGGAGGAACCCTCATACACTGTTGGTGGGAATGCAGATTGGTGCAGCCACTATGGAAGGCAGTGTGGAGGTTCCTCAAAAAATTAAAAATAGAACTACCATATGACCCAGCATCCCCTCTCCTTCTGTTTATACCCAAAAAATCTGAAAACATTTACCCGTAAATATATATGTACTCCAATGTTCATTGCAGCTTTGTTTAAGGTGGCCAAGACATGGAAACAACCGAAGTGTCCTTTGGTAGGTGATTGGATAAAGAGGATGTGGTACATATACACCATGGAAGATTACTCGGCCATAAGAAAAGATGAAACACTGTCATTTGCGACAATATGGATGGCCCTCTCCATTTTGTAATGTGCCTTTCTCTTTGGAAAACTTTCTCCACCCTGCTTTTTCCTAACTTCTCCATTCATTTTGACCATTTTCTGCATTGACCAGTTTACCCCACCCAATCTGTAATCTGGTTTTTCTCCCAGACGCTTCCTGGAAACTGCTCACCCAAAGAGAGCAAATGACTTTCTACTTGCTAATCTGCCACACTTGGGCATCAGTTGACAATATTGGGCATTCTCTTCTGTCATGAAACACTTACCTTCTCATCATATTGGAGATCCGTTCTCTGTTGGTTCTCCTGATGCTTCCCAGAATGTTTCTTTTCATTCTCACCTTCTCTAATTTGTGTTTAAATATGTATAGACACTCCATAGGTTTCTTCTCTAGCCATACCATGTATGCACTCTGAACTATTTCAAATCCTCAATTCTCTTGGGAAGCCTCAAAGGCTCCCAAAGGTTCAGTTATCACCTTTGTGCACGTGATTTGATCTTTACCTCTAATTTGGATATCCATCCTGAATTTCTCATAGGTACTTCAAACTCAATTAACCATCAAACTAAAATTATTATTTCCCCCTTGAACCTGAACTTCTTATTTTTCCTACCCCCACTCTCAGACTTGGGTTGTGGTTTAATATACTCATTAGATTACCCATCACACACTGTTCTCTGCCTCCTAACCCATACAGTTAGTCTGGATTATTCTCCCTCTCTCTTTCTATGTTGTACATGCTGATATTTTATTTAGGTACAGTTGAAATAATACCTCAAGCATCAAATGATGCCTACTTTGATCAACTCAAAAAATAATTAAAGGACTCTTACGTTTGTAATTAATATCATTGTTTCATGTTTTACCACTAGTTGTAGACCTGTATGTATTGCTTTCCTCATTGGATTATAAATTCTCCAAGTAATCTTGTGGCCTTCTTAATCTAGTCCAGTAACATATTTGCATACTGATTTGTTGAACTGACTTCAAGTGAATCACGCCTGGTTTGTCGTTGTTGTTCTTGTGGTTATTTGATTTGTTTTATTTTGTTTAGTCAGCCATGCAAGCAGCATGCTCCTCCCAAGGATGATCATTTATAATATGGGCAGTAAAAATTAGAATGAAAGCAGCTGGGAATCTCCAGAAAATAATGGATTCCCTCTCAGTATACTAAGAGCAATATATTGGGCAGCTCCTAAAATAAAACAGGTTTTTATCAAACCCAGTATGCTAAAGCAGGAAACATAATCACATTATTTGCAATTTATTGTTGCTCCCATAGTGATCTACACATCAGAAGGTATCTATTCTAATACTTCATTTCTGAAACTTAATGCTATGTTTAATTTATCTAGTAAGGACCTCTTAGCACCTCAAATAGATGCTTTAAAAAACAAGACACCCAGTTGTTAGTCTAGGGAAAAAGAATAAATGTAAATTTAGCACTTTTTCAAGGTGAATCTTCACATTTTGATGTCTTGACAGCATTCAATAAAAATCTAGTATTCTTAGAGACAATCTACTAATTTGCTGATTGTTTCTAGAGCTAAATATGTTCATAAGTTTTGAAAGTAGGTTTTAAATAATTGACCTTTATTTGGGGCAATATTTGTATACATATGCATAAGTGCAGTCTTTTATAATATAAATATACTTTTCAGGACCTTGTCACTGCTTCTGAGATAAAGAAAACTCTTGATGTCAAGACTAAACGGAGAGGAGAATGAAATACACGATATGGTAAGTGACTTGCAAATAGACCAATGTGGCCAAGTTTCTAAAGCTCCATTGTGTGGTTATCATTTGTGTTTTGCATACATATAAAATGAATAATTAGGGTAGTCACTATTGCAAGAAGTAATGAAATGTGACCACAGTTGAGTCAAATTTTGTCCACTTCTATAAGATTATTTTGACAAACTTGATGTAAAAAGACACTTGGTTATCACTCATGGCAGGTAATTTTAACTCTGATTTTTAATCAGGAAAAATTCAAGATTGCCAATATGTCTGGGACACACAAATTTGTGCTCCTAGAGCAACACAGTTTCTTAACATGGCATTTGGGATTATAATAGTGGTTTATAAAATAGAAGGCAAAGACTTTACAGTTTCTTAAAATTTGATTTTTACTTTAAGTTATTGAAACTATTAAAAATAGACAAGCAACAGTTAAGCATATCTTGATGCTTAAAGAGTTTTTTATTATTATTGTTACTATTAGTTACAAAAACAAGTTAGTTTTACTTAGTTTATAAGCACTTCCAGTGTTTCGGGTTGTTTTCTTGATGTATTTTCTATAATGATATAGGAAATTTATTGTATAAGTTTCCTTTTCTCTTCTCATCCTATTCAGAAGAACCTCTGTAGGACTTCTCAATGATAGAGAGTTGAGAGAGTAAAGGAAATATAAGGGAAGAGACTTCTAGAGTCATTTCTGGAACACAGGTAGAGACATGCTACTGGTTCTACTACATCCATCCCTACCATCTCAAGCCATCTAGAGACCAAGAAAATGCTGCATGTTCACAGTGACATGGTGGCAGAAACTATACTTTTCTTCTACTAGTCAAATTCCAGAAATCATTAGTAGATCCCACTTTATTTAGTTAGGGCCATTCTGTTAGACTAGGATGCCTTAAATTGAGAGAGAAGAATAAGCATTATGCAAGATAATCTGTGACCCCTCTGAAATTATATGCAATATATTGTGTGTATATTCCTTTTATCTGTGAAGACGATCAATGGATTTTATCAATTTTTCAAAGATCTTGATGACATGAAAAGTTTTCATCGGACATGTTTCAAATTTAGAACAGATGTCATTAAAATGAAAATTTTGAAGGACGTCAAGAGTTTTTGTATAGATAGTTTTATTAATATTCCAGGTGGTGTTGGCTGTAAATTTTGTACCCTCATGACTCCTTTTTAATTATAAATGTTTTTAGAGGAATAAAAACCCTTCAAAAGAGTTTTGTGAGTACTCTCCCCTTCGTCATTCTTTAAAACCTGAACCATATGCAAAGTTATTCTTCCAAATAAAAAATAAATAAATAAAACTATTTGTATTATAGCCACTCTACAAACTCTTACATAGACCTTAGTTATCTTATGACTAAATGTATATTTTTAAAATGCATCTGTTTTTTAGATATTCTACTGATATTGGCCCCTGGTGTATGAATATTGATCTCTGTTGCCTCTAAGTTTTGTGTGGCATGTGTTTGTTGGTTGTCGCTCACAGTGATAAATAGAAAAACCAGTTCTGGCCTCGTCATCACTTTTCCTTATCTTAGCTGGAAACTCTGAAAATCATTCTGCCTCCTGAATGATATTCCTGCCCCTGCGGGTGTGGACATTGCCTTCCACCTCCATTTACATTCATGAACATATTTATTCTTTGGTATCCCAATAGCCTATTTTATTTTCACTGAGCTCTATTAAGAAAGATTCTTAATGAGCCTGTGTCTCTCCCAATTGATAACTAATTTTATTTTTTTTAATAAACTATACCAGTTATAAAGGAATACTTCAGATATTTGGGTAATTTCTTTGGTGGGGAGAGAGGGGAGGTTATCCTGGAGGAGTCCAAGAAGGCTTCCCCTGCCAGCCCACGTCCTCATTTGATGGTGAACATGTTCCCTACCTAGAAGATATCTGAAGCCTATTAGTTGTAGTCATTGTGCCAGACGTTTTTGTAATATTTTTTCTTCTCTGAGTGAATCTCTTTTCCAGAAGAAAAAGTTGAAATTTAATAAGATCAATGTAGAAGGCCAAACGTAGAGGCCAAAAGTTGCTCTTGAGTTATGGTGTTATTTCTCAGCCAGATGCTTGTCTCTTCTGTCCAGCTGCAAAATTTCTCCATACACAAAGGCCTCTTTAGTGCCAAAGGGGGATAAGCAAAAGGGATGAAAATATAGCTGCTGTTGCATGGATGACCCCACTCACTGACTCCTTCAGAGCGAGTTTTCCTTAGAATCCTCGGAGGAATGCTTTGCTTAACCACCTATCCCAACATTTAGGATTTACTTTTAAGATGGTCAGTTAATATTTCTTGAACATAAACTTTTGGCCAGAGTCACTGGAAATTTGAGTTTATTAAACTTTTACATACTTAACTATGGTCTACAGGGTATTTTAAACACAGCCATTTGGCTTCAGACCTACTTCCTTACCCCCCAAAACATACAGTGTGAAATGTATGCGAAGTCATTGGATAAGGTACTTTTCCAAGTCCTCGGTATCTTATTTCTTCTAGATAATAGAGAAAAAATATATACTATTCCCATGATTAAACACACTGTTTGAGTTATAACTTAGGTCCCTAAATACATATGGTAATTTACATAAATGAGTGAAAAATCTAGCCTGGGAAAAAGATAAAACATTATGGAATAGTTAAATGACATATGAGACACCATACTATGGATTTTAAATAACTTTTTGAAAACATTATATTAGTATTGTATATTCTGACTTGGCAAAGTTTTCCATGGTATATTTTTTGGGGGGAAATAAAATAAAATCAAATTATCATATAATACATACGGTAAGGTCTTTTATAGAAAAAAACTACTATAACTTATAGTTGCATTTCATATATACAGAAATATAATTTAATCCATTTGTTTTACAAAAAATAAGGTGAGTGAGTATATATCTGTTTTTGTAGTGAAAATGTCTTGAGAACATCCCTAGCTTAGTAGTTATATCGGGGGAACAGAATGACAGAGAAAGGAAAGAAACGCATTTTTATTTTATGTTTTATACAGATATACTTCTGTATTATTATATTTTTTAATCTTAAGAAGGTATTACTTTTATTATTTAAAACAGTCAGCTATGATATTTATTGAATTATTTTTGAATTGTGCCTTGTATAGCCTGCTATTTGGTGGTATTTTGCTTAGCGGTATTTATTGAAAAGTTCCAAACAATTTATTCAATTGAAATAAATGAAGTAATATTGGGATTGAGCTATATTCTTAGATTGCATAAAGCTTATTTTGATAAAATTCTCTTATTTTTCTCTTCCTCTTTCATAGGGACTAGGGTGACTCATTTTCCCTTCTACCTGCTGGTTAGGGTTCCTGGAGACTTTACTTCCCATCTGTCTTAATCTAGTCAGCTTGCCTTTTTACTACCAGAGATGTTTTTGTAAACTTGCCAAAGCCTGACTTGAATGTTGCTGCTATTACTCTGGACCATTGCTTAGAGGAAGTGATCTGGACATAACATTACTTCTTATTCCTTCTCCTGGCTACAAAATCTCTTTCACCAGCTTTCTCCCACGTTAATCTAAGATACCCTCAGAAATTTATTTGTTTCTCATGCAAGACAATCTTTCAACATTAGTCTAACTCCCACTTACTGGTTCCATACCTTACATTGGGAACTGAGGTTGAAATAGTATCAATATTCTTATATAATTTATTTTTTTAAAAAAGGAACATGCACTTGTGTATATACCTGGAGAAGTAGATGGCACATATTTTTCTAGGTACTCATGCAGTGATTTTTAAATACAATTTACCTACTGTGTGATCCTAAGCAAGTTCCTTCAATACTCCAAGTCTTAGCATTCCATACCTGTTAAAAGCAAGTATATAAAAGTACCCAATCCATAATACAGTTTTGAGGATTAAATGAATTATTATTATGCAAAGTACTTAGAATAGCATCTGGCACAGAAAAGCATAAAATAAATATAAACAATTTTGATTGTTTATAAAAATATGCAGGGCTGGCCGAGTGGCACTTTGGTTAAGAGTTGGCTTGGGACGCCAGCTCTGAGCAGCAGCGCCCCAGTTCTGATCCCACATGAGGGCCAGTGACGCTGTGCCCTCTACAGGTAAATGGTGAATAACAGCTCGACCTGGAGCTGGGCTGCCATGAGTCACCGGCGACAGTATAGGCTGCAGTGGGGCTGGCCGGCAGCTGGCATGAGCTTCTGTGGGCTGCCATGAGCCACCATGAGTGGCCATCCAGTGGCCAGTGACCTATCTGCCTCACCCAGGAAGAACGCAATGATAATATCAACATGGGCCAGTGTAGCGAGATCCTCCACAACTAGACTGAAGAACAAAAAACAAAAACAAACAAACAAAAAAAGCAACTTGCCTCTTCCCCTTCCCCAATTCCCCAATAAAATCTTTAAAGAAAAAAAATGAAAATCATGGTATTCCTCATTAATGAATATTTTAAAGGAATAATTAGTAATAATAAATATATGATACATATTGGTGTACCTTGATTTGATGGCCTGATGCAAATATCAGTCAATTCTTATAAAAGAGGTCTAACATTTTCTGGGAAAGACATTTTGATCAATAGTAGCAGCTTTGTGGTAAGTATTTGAATAATAAAATAATAATAATAATAGAAGAAGTAGCTCATTGTGATGCTTCCAAATGTACTATTTATGTTTTAAATTATTATTACCCTCAATAATTTAAAGAAGTGGGTAATATAATCCTGAATCATAGTAGAACATATATTTTTTTCATCACAGATTTGAAAATAGTCACCAGCAGAGGACAATATCAAGAGTATAGGTATTGCCAACCTGGTGAATGTGCAAGTTGCATTTGCCTTGGAAAAAAACAGTAATTTCCTTAATTTAATTACTATCTGGAAGCCAATTTATGAATAAGTAACCATGCAAAAAAGGGGGTGCACATTGCTGACCCACTAATGAGAGAGGAACGATAAGAAGGATGGAGCGGGGGAGGGGGAGAAAG